CGCTATATCAAATGCAAGTATTATTATTATATAATAAACAAATGTCAAGTTCACGTTGCTTTATAAAGTATGGAATTTGGATTTCTTGTGGTTTTCACATTTTCTTGCTGATTCCTCAGGAAATTTGGTACCATGTCATTGGACGGAGGGAATTTGAGAATGGCTGCAACTGCTGATTGATGCCAGGGCATTTCTTAGATTGACCTCAGGCAAAGACTCGGAGGAAGCACCGATACCATGAGGTGTCTGGAATAACCTTGGGAGGGTCTTGAGTATATGTTGCAAATTTTTCGGGACAGATATTCTTTGGCAGCAAATATTCTGGTTTGGCTTTAGTACCGGTTTAACATCTTCTCTTCTCTCAGAAACTTTATCTTCATCAGGCCTCCTCTGAAATATCCTCTTCGATACTGAATATATCTCATTGTTCTTAATGACCAGCATTAGGAATCAGCCTCATTGCTTCTCAGTATTGCCTCTAAGGTGTGGACAGGCTCATTAGAATGTGGCAGTACACAACTGGACACAGTACTCTAGTTGCAGCCAAACCAGGGCATTTTACAGATTGAGAATGACTACTAGGGGTCTGATTCGGCAGTGTATCTCAGTACTCTAGTACCTCAGTACCTGTTTGCCTTATTTGCTGTTGCCTCATACATCAGCCTCTCGGCACTCTGACAAAATATCAGAAAAATCCATCGCTCCATTTCTAATGGTTCCATCCATGGTCTTTAAATGTTGTCCAGGTTTGTAAAACAATTTGTGAGTTTCTAGGAAACGTTTGGCTAATTCTTTTTTATTGTGGTAATTATCTTCCTATGGGTTGTTCTTATAGCCCAGACAGATACAATCCCTAAAAAGACGAGGAACTTCTTTTGGGAGAAAAAACACAGTTGTGAAAGGGTATATATGCAGCTTATGATATGTGAAGTACAGTCAAATTATTAGTACGTTGTGAACAATTACGCATAAATTCTTAAGCGATATATTCTGCTTTCATATATGAACAGGTGAGCAGTATATTAATGAAGCCACACTCATAAAGACACAATTGACTACTTCAGACCACTGCATTAAGAATTCAAATAAGAGAAATACACAGAAACTCAGGATAATTATTCCTCCACAGAACTGTCAAAATGTTTTATTTTATAACTTTACTATACATTAACTTCAGTGAATGTACAAATGATGTTATGGTACCAAAGAGTAAGGTTATCAATAATCGACTGTACAGTTTTTTGAGTTCTTTCACAAGCTGTGTCTATCAGTAGAAACTTAGCGGAAATGCTGGTGAGTAGAAGAATATGGGTGAAGTAAATCTCAAATAGTAAAGATATTTTCCAAAGAAATGTGAAGACAAGACTAGTACCACAGAGTGTTATCGTAAAACATTGAATTGAACTTATATTTTATTGAGAAACCATTGTGATGGACCAAGGCTCCGGTGCAGAACTGACTAAGGCTGAAAAGAGTACAAGATGAATAAAGCAGTGGTTATGTGGTGCTAATTTGGGGTTTTAAAAGGAGGGAAGACAACAACAACAATAAAATTACATTCATAGAGCGCATTTAGGTCGGGAGGACATCCCAGGGTGCTGGACAGGGGAGGGGTGGGGTAGGGTTGAGGGAAGGCAGAGAGGTGGGAGGGTGACTGAAGGCATGATCGAAGAGGAGGGTCTTGAGACCGGCCTTGAAAGAGGCAAGGGAGGAAGCGAGGCGAAGGGATGGTGGATTGGAGTTCCAGAGTGTGGGGATAGAGAGGCTGAAAGCCCGGCCACTGATGGTAGGGCGGGTCGGGCGGGAGACGTGGAGCAGACTGGAGCCCGCTGAATGGAGAGAGCGGGCAGGTTGGTAGGGAGTCAGCAGGTCAGAGAGATAGGAGGGGGCAAGGCCATGGATGGCCTTAAAAGTGAGGACGAGGATCTTGAATTTGATCCTCTGAGGGATGGGGAGCCAGTGGAGTCAGGCGAGGGTGGGAGTGATGGTGTCATGGAACCTGGTGCGCGAGAGTACATGAGCTGTAGAGACTGAGGAGTCCCACACACTGAGCTGCTGGGAAAGAATAATTTTAGAGTAATGAGTTTTGAATTCATGAATTTGAGTGCTGAAATCCAGTGGAAACTTCATAACTTTTTCGGTATTGCTATTTGGAACATGTAGTCAGTGGCTAATACTGACAAATACATCAGAGTGAAGACATGTATCTCCCATTATCACCCAATACCAATTATATTGGTAGAAGGTACACTGAACTCTTTGAGCACTCCAAAGTAGTGTTGCTCTAATCCTATTCTTTCACCGGCAAGAACATAAGTTGTTATTGCATCTTGAAAGAACACGTTATTACTTCTTGCCCAGCTTGACCACGATCCTTTCATATAAACTTTTGTACACATAAAGTGATTGTTAGCTTTGGCATGAACCACAATGTGTTACAATGGTACTGTATAAAGCAGACCAATAAGAGGAAAGATTACAAACTGGAGGAGTGAGCTTCACACACAGAACTGAGAGGTTTCTGCCTCTGAGGAATCAATGTCTTGTAGAATTATCACTGCGATATATAAATCCCAAAGGGTTACATCAGCCTGCATTGTAGTAACGAGTGTACATCTCTATTTATAGAAAGAAAACCACGAGCTTTGCGATGTAAATAACTCACACCCAAAACTGTTACTACTAGGGAATTTGCTTTAAGAATAGTTTTCTATTTTATCGGGTCACTCTGTGATCAATTTTAATAATAATAATGATCCTTGTATTTGATGTAACATCTCATTATGTCAAAACATGTCGAAGAGCTTTAGAGTTTTCTGTGACGTGTAGTCAATGTGGTCATCGCGCCAGCCAATTTTACACCAGAAAAAACTCCTTTCTCTTTTCAAATAGTGTCATGGGAACTTTAACATACATCTGAGCAGAAAGACAGATCTCAATTTGATGGCTCATCCAAAGGATGGCCCCTCTGGTAATGCAGTAGCTCTCTCCAGTGGTGCACTGAAGTGTTAGCTTAGACTGTGAGCACAGAGCTCCCGACATGGGACGGAAACTCACAAACATCTGACTCAGAGGCTATCAACTATGCCAGCCTGACACCCAAATGTTTGCAAATCACTGGTTGGTTGTCTAACATTAAAATCAGATTTTGTCACGATTGGCCTGTATCTTGCCACAAAAGAGCAATCTTTTAATTTCTTGTTGGTATTGATGGTACTGCATTATTGTTCTTTTAGCAAATGGTGTGTGAAAGACCCCCTCCAATGCCTTTGCTTGTTTCATTGCACTCAACAGCATTGGTGGCATTCTTATAGTGTTCATTGATGCATTTCACATTAATGAAAATATCCCCTTGTATGCTGGGCTCAGAGCAGTGCTTTTCGATGAGATTGAAACCACAGCCAAAACATATACAGAGTGACAAACCATTGTCACTGGGCATGCATCATCATTCATATAGTATTCAGTGTGTGTACACTTTTACTTTGACATGCAAGTGGCATGTAAAAGGATGCATTGATATGACCTTAACATTTCAGGTAACAATTACTTTTTTCTTCTTTCATGCGCAGTGTTTGGAGTAGTGGTAAGCAACTAACTAAATACAGTCAAATCCAATTAATAAATTTCCCCTTAACACATGTTACTTTATTATATTTATTCTCTGTACAGGTTATTATTGGCTTGACCAGATTTAATGTTTAAGTAGGTGGATCAGCAAATGAGTACATTTTCTGTGAAGGTGAAACGTATGCAACAAACTGAAAAAGGGAACTTTGGAGGTTCCCTTTAATTCTTGGCGTTCCCAGTGGAATATTGCTTAACTAACATAATGTTCCTGCTTAGAGAACCTTTGGACCATCCAAGAATGTCTATACTGCTGTAAAACCCTTGTGCAACCAAATGCTGCCAGCAACAACGTAAATCTGTGCTAAAGAATGTGAAGTATCATTCCACAGTTTATCATTAAACTTCATTAGTTAGAATTGTCTTTCAAGACATAGTAACCAAAGACATCGGGTGTGGGGGGTGAAGGTTGTAAAGGAAGGTTGTAACCTACTGTTCAGCAACGCCAGCAAAAATTTTCATTCTGCACTTAAAAGGGAAATCTTACTATAAGCCCAGTATGCTAAACTTCATATGTTAGATTTCTTTCAATAGAGCATATGTAGAGACTGCCTGTTTGTTGCAATACCACTGGTAGCAGGTCCCTGGGGGCACCTGGAGCCAGCTTCTCTTCAGTTCTGCTGATGAAGCTTGACTCCTAACAGGAAACAAAACATTACAAAATTCTGTGAGCCACAGGAACAGCCTCAGAATTTCTCCACTGCACTTTGCAAAGAAAAGATGTTTGCAATGAGAGGAAATGCTTAAGGACCCACACTGCAGTCATCCTTCCAGCTTCAGCCCAGCATAATGGGAAGGTGGAGACTTGATCTGATCTCAACAATCCAAATGACATATCACATTCTTTTGAAGACATTGAAACAAGGTAAATGGGTCTATGCTGCAACAATAACTAACGGTCACTCGTTTATACATCTTTATAATAGGATTTTCCATTACAAATTCACAACAAAAAATCTGTTAGTGTTAATAACAGGCGGGTGATAGATCCCAAAGTGTCAGAGTGATACATATGCTACCCCAGTGTGTTAAATCCTTTGTTTAATCAATGGACAGAAGTTAGAAGAATTTTTGTGCAAGTTTAAAAGAAGATTTAAAGGTTTCCAAACGACTTTCAGTGAAACATCGCATTGGATCATCAATTCTGAACCAACGGAAATAAATCCCTATTATTTGGGGTGAAAATTATAACATGCACTTTGATAATGATCCTGTCAAATAAGATTCCACCTGTCAATGCCTCAGCTGATGTCTCAGCCTTGCAAGTTATGCTGGTATCCTGTCAATTGGCACTCAAATCGCAGACTGCCATAATCAACGGCTGCCATAGACAACCTTTGTGCCAACCATTGTGTTGGTGTCAATGTGGAGGGTGGTGGGGAGGAGGGAGAAAGGAAATAAGGTATCGCAACTGTGATCATTATAGACATTGGTCTAGAATTATCACCAGTGACACCACAGGTCGCAATCTTCACCCTTCATTAAATTCATGGCGAATGCTAAAACTGTTTCCGCAGAGGATAACTCAGTGCAGCACGTGCTCAGTGCTGAGCCGCTGTGCCATGAGCATTGGGAGGTGTTGTTTAAAGCTCGGGTGTTTTCCTAATCTGAGTGGAGAGAAATCCTGTCTGCTCTGAGCCAGCCTCTGCCTGTTCTCTCAGCTGCCTCATCTTCATGCTTACAGGTGAGCTCCCACCTTCAGCTGATTACCGGTTGACTCTACAGGGCATGTTTTTATTTACGATTATTTTGAACCTTTACATTTAAAATGACATGTATTTACTTAGTGGAAGGGTGCTTTGTGACTGCTCTGCCAATACTGTACGTTGAGAGAAAATGCAGATACTTTGTTATATTCGACACCGGGAAGAGTTGTTTTTATCAAACGCTCTGTCTGCACTGCTGCCACGAACCAGCCCATCACTCCAACGTCGCACGTGCAGTTCAGGAGGTCCCCAGCTGCATTCCATGGGGCTTTGGGTTGAGATCTTACAAATGGTTATTTTTGGACAGGTAAGCTATCAGTGCCACGGCGACCCCTACATAAATGCCAGTCCCGATGGTGATAGAGAGCACTGCTAAGAACAGTGCCCGCCTGGAGCTGGAACTTGCTTGGTGGTATTCTCCCTTAGCCACAGCCTTGTTTGTCTAAAATAAAATAAAAATAGATGTTTTTAATAGGTGAGAAATCATCAATTTCTTGTCAGCTACTCACTACCGAACGTGCCAATTTTAGCTGTTTCAGCTTGTTTTTGTTCTGGTATTTTCAGTGGCACAAATATAATAACTCACATTCTACAGCCCAGTTGTTAAACTTTGAGCAATACAAAGCCAATGTCATATGCAGTATTCTCATCTGTTGACATTACCTCAGACACGAGAACAACTCACTGTCTTGGACCCTTTCTTGCCGGGTGGTTCTTTTCATTTGAACCTACTGATGACCAAAATTCCCAAATCACTATTGTCGCAACTCACTAACAATTACATATTTGACCCCTTCATTGACTGCCTTCAATGGTGAGTTTCCTCTTTATTTATCTATGTAGTTTTTTCTTATTCACGCTTTTTTTCTTTCTCACCCCCGCCTCTCTGAAGATAGTGAATCACACTGGAATGGTTCCACATGTGCCATTCATCTTCTGGTGCCTCAACATTGTTGCAATTCTTTATGTTTCATCCTAAACAGTTTGTGTTGGAAAGCCTTTGGACCACAGAGGGGTGACATAGCCAAATATGATCCTGTCCTAAATTGCCATCCACATGCATGTACTTGCATGTAACAAGGTGATATTGGATTATGATTATGAACAGGAGCCCTGGCTGATATACTCCTTTATTAGCCCAGGGCTTATTACATTGCACTCAACTGATACCATAACTGTCAGCGGCAAAAAAAAACAGACCTGGGAATGAACTAGAACCTTAGTGCATACGACTCAGTGTGATAAAAACAGCAGTAGTTTCAAATACCCATTGAGAAAACAGGGTGGTGGTATTCTCTTGCATAACTATTAAATCGAGTATTAGTCTGAGCAATTATAACACCAATAACATTTTTGGGTGAAACATTACACAAAGGCAGAAGAACTGAACATATGTGTACTTAGGTATTCTATTAACAAAGATGTTCATTGGTTTTACAGTGGAAAAGGAGAGTACGAAAGACTGTGATAGTAGGAGCTCTTGACAAAAGTACCCAGAGCTTCAAAGAGATGGAATGAATCAGCTACACTATTAATATGTTAAGGCCACAGGAGCTGAACTCCAGATACAGTGAGAGAATAAAGACCTCTAATGGAAGTATGGTTAGCAAGACACAATAATCTGCCTCTGTTCCAAATGAACCTAAACGCTAAGCTTTAGTGTCAAATCCACTTGCCTTTCCTTTATCATTTAATTACAAGCTACATTAATTTTGACCTCATAATGTAACCTCTTTTATCACAAATTAGACCTTGATCAGAGCCAGCTAAAATGTTGTCAATCCTAAAAAATTGCAGTTTGTCTCGGTTGAGGATGCCATCACGTTACCATGGCACTGTGGTGCTACGATGGGTTCAGGCAGCTGGGGGTGGGGGGGGAAGGGCTGTATGAATAATCTGCAAACTGTTAAAAATAAATTGGAAAATCATGGTTCAGGGATGTGGCAGTGGGTTTACAGACCTCTCTTCACCTCTGGAATCTAGGTTTCAATCCAGACCAGATGAATGCTTCCTCTATCTCTCTTGCTCCAATTAGTATAAAGATCCTTCAGGAAATGAAGTTAATCACAAACTACTCATAATTTGGCATAAATCAAAACTAAACCGTTAGTCTGGCTCAGTGAGGCTGACAGACTAGAAGGTGCAGGAAATAGAAACATTCACACTGATGCATTTGGAGTGGTTGTCTTAAGGCAGGTTGGTAGGCAGAGCGGTGGGAGTTGTACTCTGTATCAGGTGTACAGTATCTGATGCTTGATGCTGACACTGGGCACCAAAGTGCATCGGATTCCATATTTCAGAGCTCACTCACCAATGATCTGCATCACAGGAGCAATCATAAAAATATTACTAATCATCCTTGCATTTCATATATCACCAAGTATGTTGATGAGATCTCAAGACATTTTGCAAAGTTTCTGTAAAGTGTAGTGACTGTATTTTCTTGGCGAACACACAGCAATTTGGGCACTGCAGTGTCCCACAAACAACCATGAAGTGACTGACCAATTTTATCTGAGGGATTGTTGGCCACTACACTGGGAGAAAAGGTATTTAAAAAAAAAATGAACATGTGTCAGCCAGGACTGAAATTCAGGACCGAAGATGCGGAAAGACTCTGTAAACTCTATGAGGTATTTGAGAAAACAGTACTGATGATCAGATGATTTATTATTAGTGTAAAGTTTTCACACAAATTGAAACAAAATAAAAGTTTAACTTATCACAACAACTTGCATATATATCACTCCCTTCATGGAGGACAGAGCCCACTCCACTCAACTTTGTACAGGTTGTATTGTTTTGGATTCTTGAAAGTGATTTATTTGACCTCTGGGGAGGGGGGGAGGGGTGGGGGGGTGGCACTGAACAACTCCAAGTAATGCTTCCAATTGGAGAAACATCTGCAAACATGTCTTCCGATTCTCAAGGGGAATGAAATAAAAATGTCAGGCTGTCGATCAAACATAGCAAAATATGTCAATTAATCAAGATTGGCTCAACATCACCTCCCTGTGGATCTAAGATGACGGATGTCCACACTGATGTTTATAGCTAGCCTTGCATGCCAATTTTTCTTTCATAACCAGATATTGCAGCAAAGCATTCATTTCAATTCCTCCAGGGCATTGCTGATGACAGCACAGCCAGCCTGGCTCGTTGGCAGGACCGTAAGGGCAGAGTGGTCATAGGGCAGGGATTTTTGCCACTCAGCTTCTGTTAACTTGAAAGCCAGAGTCCTTTTGGGTAGGGTGCTCCTTGATGAGCAGTGGGAAAGTTATCAGACAGTGTTTTCAATTGCAAGCCGAATGGTTTTATCTGGTTAATCTGCAGTAATTTAGCTAGTTAATCCTCAATGAACACTCTGGGATCACCAAGCCGAGTGTGTCACTTACCCCATTCCTGACACTGGGAAGTTTCTATATATAGGTGCTCATGCATACATGGAACTCTGTCTGGTTTGGATTCTCTTAAGAAAGGTGATAGGTTTCTCCATGTGTTTTACTGGAGGTGCTTTTCCTTCTTCCATGCTAACAAGTCTTTTTGAATGAGGATGTTGCTTAACCAGCAGATTCCATTGCCAAAGGGATACCATAGTCATTAGTCATTGTATTTACAGTTAACTCTCTCACTAGACACAAATTACAAATGATTAAGCACTAGGAACACAATTTCACTGTACAAATGAGCTTTCAGAATGATTGGAACAAAAGTGTTCCAAACTCACAACAGTCATTTGCGTAAGAGTCAGTCTAGTTTCTTTCTTGTGGATGCATCTTGTAGTTTACCAGCATGCCAATCCTCCCAATTAGAGGCTTGCTAACCCAGCTTTTCTTTTTAAGAATTGAAGAAAAAACGCTTTCCAAATTAAGGCTCAATTTAACAATTTTCCACAATTCTGCACAATCTTATATTTTAAGGCAAGGAAGCTTCACAGGCTAAGACCAGATGGGGTTCGTGGCCTCTGGACTCATAGTATTGTTCCTTGGGCAATTCACTGAAATCTAGCCCCGGAAAAGTCACTCACTCAGGAAAGTGGAGGAAACAAATGCCTCTAAATATTAAAACAATTCTGCAACATGTTTCTATTTCCAGCTCTGGCTGGGAATGGGAGTGGTCCCCTGGCATCCTTACTTTATTTATTACTTGGCATTCTTTCCGATTGTGCCAGCTACAGGCTACAAGCACAGGGATGCTTCAACTACTTCTGCCTGCTCGCTCTCAATCTGATCATCTCATGGGATTTCTGATTACATCGCTCATCTTGAAAATAAGTCACAGCACTGTTAACTGGGAAATGTTGGGAATGATGGTGTTTTAATTATTCAGGCGCTGTTTCTGCTGCTGCCTGGAACACAGGCCAGGGTTGTGGCAGCAAGAATTTAACAAAAATATCTGTACAGCTGGAACCCAGAGTACTTAACCCTTTCAGTGCCGAATGCAGGGTTTGCGTTATATTCATGCTACATGTGTGTGTTGGTTGCTAGCACTTTAGGGTGAATTCATACCAAAAGTCAAAATGTCTAAAACGAAAAATCCCACATGGAACGTACAATAACTACAGCAGTACACAGCACACAATTCCACATGTCTACCCATATCAATACCACACGTCATAACATGTGATAGCATACATCGTAGGTGAATACACAGAATAGCACACATAACAACACCACATGAAAGCTATGCATTCCTTCCAGAATACCTGCTCTTTCCATCATCCCACTCTACCGACTTCTTATTTCACCATCAAGCTATTCCTTTGATGAAAAGAAACACAAAATACTGCAGATGGTGGAAATCTGAAACAAAAACAGAAGTCGCTGGAAACACTCAGCAGGTCAGGCAGCATCTATGGACAAAGAAGAACAGGGTCGTGGACCTGAAACATTGACTCACTTTCCTTTCCCCATAGATGCTGCCTGACCTGCTGAGTGTTCCCAGCGACTTCTGTTATTCCTTTAATGAGTTCAGCATCCTGGCCTCAACCACCATTCCTAGTAACTACATGACAATGCAACACATGGTAACAACAACAACCACCACAAATTGCATTTATATATAGTGCCTTCCTTTTAGTGGGGCGGATGTCCCAAGGTGCTGGAGTGTGCTGAGTGACCTTATGCTCAAACACAGCATTAGGTCACTCAGCAGAACATAGATCAATAGCATGACAGTGCAGCACCTGATAGAACACACAGCAATCCAGGATAACAACGATCATTTCCATTTACATAGCACCTTTCACGTTGGGAGAACATCCCAAAGCGCTTCATACAACTGTCTGGATACTCTAGCTGGGGACGGGAGGAGAGATAGAAGACCAAAAGTGTGGTTGAAATGATAGGTCTTGAAGTGGGGAGGGAGGGAGCGAGGGGCAGGGACTCTGGAATGGAGCTCCAGAGAACAGAGGTGGAATGGCATCTAGGCTCTCCACTGACC